CTTTTCGTAGATTTTACCGAATTAAATAATTTGACTTCATGATTTATTCGTACATCGATATACTTTTCACATTCAGCCCTTACAAGTTCTATTAAATGATTACAATTGTTAGGCAAATTATCAAATTGATGTTCATGCAAATTTTCAAATATGTTCATATTCAGAAAGTTTTTTAATACATGATAAACAATTTTATTTTTCTGTAGCCTAGGTGTTCTGCTTTCATCATTATTTAAAAAATTTATTAATTTTTCTGTTTCTTAGCATATTACTACGACATCTCGAAATGGATACGTCAAACAATCACGATCTTTAATAAAAATTAATTCACTGTACGAATACTGAATCTGAAATTAGTTTTGTTTGCGATTTTTTTAACTGAAAAAAATATTTAATTAATTTTCAGCTATCTCGAAATGGCGGGAATTGGTCAAATTTCATAAAAATTTAACACACATAAAGTAAATAATTACTGTAAAATATTTTTAGTAATTATTTCTCTACCAAAATTTGACCTATTCTTCGGGTTAAAGACACACATTGTCCGCTCTCTACTTATAATGCTCCATTTCTTATAGTCTGCTATAGAAATGGGTAACGCAGCAAAATTTCCTGCGTTGATACACTAACTTAAGCGTACACTTGTGCGTTAACCCACTGCGTTAACTCAATTGCATTAAAACGCAATATCGGTTCAACTGGCGGATGACGCACCTAGCGCAACGCGCAGCGGTGTCATCGTATCACCACTACACCACCCGACGCGTGATTCCCTACAGCTTCATCAGATCAGTTCACTGCTCAGTGCTGTGACGTTGGACAATCTTGAAAAAATATAACTGAAAAAATATCTCAAATACTATTCCTAAATTATAATTTAAATAACAAAAACTGATTTAAATAACAAGAACACTATAGTTAGTATTTTGAGAATTACATATTTTTTTTGTTATGACTATTTTATGTGTTTTAAATTTTATTCTGAACCAAAGAAGGTTCTAGTTTTATTTTTGTATAAAAAATTATTATTTTGTTTCTGTTTTTCAATAAAAGTTAAAAATTAAAATGCATAATTTTTCACATAAATGCAATTAAAAATTTTAAATACAATCCCCCCAACCCCCAAGTATATTATCATATATTATTTATCATAATAATAGTCGTCACGCTATTTTTCGTCCTATAATATTATTTTCAAAGGTATTACTCCTAATATAACGTTTTAACATTATTTCGGTAGATCGGATATACATATCCGTGTTCCATACTCCATGATCCATATCTGTGTTCTTTTCTTCTCAAGTCCTTGGTTTTGTAAATAGCCAATAGAGAGTTGAATCTTTTGACGTGATGACGTGTTTCGTTTGGCTTTGTCTGTCGGGGCACGTCGTATGACTCCGTGTTTGACTCAAAAGTGTGAGTGCGCTGTGCGGTGTCGGTGTAACTCAATTGCGTTAACGCAATAATAATTTTGGTATTGCGTTATTGCGCAGGCCATTGCTTCAGCGCAATAACGCAACGCAGTATTGAGTTACCCATCTCTAGAGTCCTCCAACAAAATTGAACAAGATTTTACAGTAAAATCAATTTATCAAATAAACTAAACTATAAATGAGTGTAAAGGTTTGGGTGTTTTGACAGACAAAAACTCTTTAGGTGCGTTTTGTTGGATCAATCCCAGATTTATTGGATTCTTTAGAATGACATTTATCAATAAAACGATTTAAATCAAATCTGGCATTAAACAGATGCTGACTCAACAGGCCAATGCTACACCAGCTACCTAAGAAGTACTAAGAACTTAAGTAACCTCAGTCCTCACAAATTTGAACTCCCCACCACTTAATTCTAATAATTCCGTCTCAAACCACAGAAGCAAAAGTTGCAACTTGATTCAGAATATCCTTGCAATAAAATGCTCATTCTGCATAGTTCAATTCCGGAATCAATCCAACAAAACGCACCTTTTTACTTACATTGATAACGTGGTTAATAAAGTGCCTACAATTTTTTCTGAATAAATGCACCGTTACATACTCCTACTTATGCTCTATGAAAATATATGGCAATATAAATAAAATATTTGATAGGCCAAAAATGGAGCTTTTTCGGAACTACTGTAGTATATAACTGAGGGTCAGTTTTTTAGGGGTAATGTACGTGTTCCCCTAACTACGAATCTGAATTTTTTTTTTAAATTTTAATTAGTTTTTTAAAATACACTTTAAATTCTTGTGTACGCCGCCACTGTAATATTCATGTATTACAAATAAATGAATTGTAGGCAATCTACAGTACTACAGTGCATATGAAGGGAGATAGTGCGGGTCAACGGTGACGGAAGTCGAAGTGAAGGGCGTCAGTTCAGTTGTTCAGCAATTCCGCATTTGGAGGCGGTACATCTAACTGTGAATTTGAATGTTTTTCATCGCTGGAAGACATCAACAGCAACATACTATTTATTTTTGAGTATTTCATTTATTTGATTACTGCTTGAGTTTTTTTGTTAGGTTACTTGTTAAGTACTGTTAATGCGTCGAACACCCACTCAACGAAAGTAACTCGCTGCGAATTGTGCATGCTGCATCCGCTGTGACTAAATGAGGCGTTAATTGAGGTTACACTAGCTTGTCCAGCGGCGGGGAAAATTACTAAAAAAATGTTTAAATAAAATTCAGTTTTACGACGGAATCCCGGAAACTAGGCCGTTTAGGATATATTTTTCATAGGAACTTTTAGAATTACCTACATATACAAAATTAATAATAACCGAAAGAGAAAATAATTTTGTAATACTGAATGCAAATGCCAGAAGGGCAAGAGGTCCCTGCCCCCTGTCCACACGCCCATGGTTAGAAATAAAAGAGTCTCGCATATCAATTTTTCTATCTATGTATTCCGATTTTTACAGCGTAAGGCTGTATTTTATTCAAATTATGTAGAATGAGTTGCTAAGGAGGAATTTTAGAATTTCAGGATAAAGAATTGCATTGAAAAACTTGATAAAAATGATTACATATTTATTACACAAAATGAAAAAAAAAAAAAATGCTTATACAAAATTATAGACCTAGTAACACATTGTTTATTAAACTTAATAACTAAGTAGGTAGTAGGTACCTCCAATAATATTTTCATGTAAGTACACGATGTTTAGGACGATATTAGTCAACTTCTAATTTTCTGAAATTTCCTGTCACTCCACATAAGGAATCGCGTTCTGAACCACATGATACGTTATTTCGTTTTAATGCAGACACTGCTCCTTCACGAGCCTTAGGACTAAAGAGATCTTCTTCAACTTCCATTTTGTCATGGGACATCAAGATTGGATGCGACCTTTTTAACTCTTCTTTCCATAGCACTGCAAAATAATAGGTTAACAGTTTGGTTATTCTGTAGTGGTACCTACTATAGATCAGTTACTAGTACTACTTGAACTTGAGCTGAAAAATTTGTTTCGGACGTTCTGAATGTGGAGTAAACATTACATGTACCTCTATGATATATTAAATACAGCATGAACAAATGAAACAATATAGTTATTATTTAATAGATGCAGTGACGGCTCGTGACATTGAGAATAGGTGAAGCATATTTATTGATTGACTAAAAAAAAAGCGCCGCAGGCGAAAATTTTCAAATTTTCAAGGTGAACATTTCTACAAATTATTGATATAAAACAAATATTAATAAAAAACCATTATAACCGTGCACTGGGCAACGTATTGTATAAACTGCTTAGACACGATAGACAGACAGGCGATGCGCGATGACGATGAGAATGCTGCTTCAACTTTTGCATCACTCGTTCTCCCAGGCCGTAGTTTACACATGCGTTGGCTGCCTCGTTACCATGACAACCGCCGTACGGAGAGCTACGGAGAGAAGCAGATACATACCAATTTCAATATGAGTCACTTGCGTAGTATACGTTGTATGGTACGAGGTTGATGTTCGCGCTCAACGAAGCCAATGATTTTTTAGAAGGCGTTCACCGCGGAATTATTCTGTTTATTTCTGCGTATAAGACAAACAAACACAATACATTTTCAATATAGAATTGTACCTAAATTATAAGATTTATATAAAATTTAAAATAATTTTAAATTGCACAAACAAACGGAAATTTTAGGTGAAGCGGTGCGTCACTTGCGTCACCCGACGAGCCGCCACTGATTCTAAGAAATATAATGTTTATAAAATGTATCTTAATCTACCGGAAACGAATGATTTTGGAAAAATTGGAAAATGACAACGCTTTGCCGGAAGAGGTGTTGTGTGGTTTGAGCAGGATGGTGCTCCACCACATTCTGCCGTAGCTGTGCGTGATTAATCAGAACTTTCGAAATCACTGGATAGGACGCAGAGGTTCAATTGACTGGCCTGCCAGATAGCAAGACTTTTTTCTATGGGGACACGACCAAACTCACTTGAGGAGCATCGTCGGCGATTTGTTAAAGAATATCGTCAGATAACTCCCGAAATGATTCGAAATTTTATTAATGTATGGAAGCGGAGGGAAATTAATTTGAGAATTTAATAAAGTAATATATCGTTTCATTCATTTTTTGTCTTATTCTTTAAGTGATGATTTAGGTAATTCTCATATCCAAACCAAAATTTAAAAAGTAGTATGTCGTCGTGAGCAGAATTGAAAATGCTTTAAAATGAGGTGTAACTCAACACAGGGTGCCATTTAAAGTTTAAGGCTATTTTACACCCCTACCTAAGGGGTAGTTTCCAAAACATCAAAACTTACGCCTTTATGTGTCTCTTCTTGAAAAGAAAATCGACGTGTCTCAGTTTTTTTGTTTTTTTTAATTCCGATATTTTCCAGGTGGGAAGTTTTAATTGGATCACCCTGTATTCTTCTTTTACCATCAGAGTTTCATTGTAAAGGTGAATGATACAAAAAAAAAGTTTTCATTTTGGTCTATCGAAAATTTTATAGTCCTACGACATTGTTTTGGTCTCCTAGATTTTCCGAACTTAAACTAATTTATTTTTTGTAGAATAGTATAAGAAACACTTCACTTAGGCGGAATTAAACCTTCATGAATTAATACAGTTAGAAATTGTTTGCCATTTTTGTCGAAAACCGTTTACTTTACGTATAAACAATATTTTTATATAAAATTTATCGTTGCATAAGAAAAATTCCTCCAAATTGCAAAATATTAAGTGAAAAAGTTATAAAAGAAAATTTCAAGATGAGCTGTCTAAACCTTTCTCTGATGTTAGCTGAAAATGAATATCAGTTTAATTCCTTGAAAGATTCAAAGCTATCACTAAAATTATTAATAATAATCTTTTCTTTTAATTTCCTTTAAGGTTTTCAGCACTATTTCATTATTTCAAAGGACAGGTACGTATTTTCGTTAGTAAAATCTGGATATAATACCTATTTTATTTTTGATTTTTATATAATTGTTTACTAAATAGTCTACAGAGTTCATTTAGTGTTAAATATTTTATATAGAGTGCATACAATGTAATTTAATTTGATGAGAATTTAGACATTTCTTGAATTATGGATTTGTCTAATAACTTTAAAGTAAATTTATAAATGTAGCATAACTAAATATTATTATCAGTCATTGAATGCTTTACCAACTCGAAGGTAGAGTTAAGAACTGTTAAACAGGAAGTATAGACTTGCTCCTGTTCAGAATAATTTATTATCATTTCCAGCTAGTCTTTGTAAAGGTTAGGACATTAAAGCAAGTTAATTTATTCCGAAATTACAATACACAACGGGACAAAGTCCCAATTACATGATAAGGTAAAACACAAAACCTTAAGTAAATTAAAAAAAACAACTAACATTAAGTGTAAAGACATAAATACTACACAAGATGGATCAAAATATAAAATCGAGACGCAGTAGGAGTTATGTATAAACAGTAACAGACAAATAAAATATACATGGTCGCTGATATGTACGGAAATGGTCGCTTATCTTCTAAACTAACATAGCTATCGAAAAATCATAAGATACAAAAGAATTAGGGTTTTTTAAATCCATTATAATAAGAAAAATTAAGTACAAAGGATCAGTCAAAAAGTCATGACGAAATAAATTTGCTTTTTTTAATGGAATACCCTGGATATTATTCCATGTTTCAATTCTCGAAATTCTAAACAAAATTCATATAGCACATCATGTACCTAAACTTAACCGTTTTCGAGATATCGAACTTTGAAAATCATTTTCTTATACAAAAATATTTTAGTCCATTAAGTTTATAGTCCATCAAATTATCTTTGATGATTTGATAATAAAGCCGCGTCGTTCGTTTGTCTAATAGTGATTATCTTGAAACACATATCAAAAATACATTTAGTCTGAATAATTTTCTCGCAAAAATGGCAGGTTTACGTGAACTGAGCTTATTGAAGCTTTAATGATCAGGATATGGTGACTGAAGACGAAGTAGTGGATATTTTTCATGAATTACATCCCGATCGGAACGTATTTCTAAATCAACAGTTTCAAAAACATTGCAGCGTTTTCATGAAACTGGAAGTGTTACAGGTCGACGAAAAAGTGGAAGTCCAGTAAGCGTTACAAATGAAGAAAATTCTTTGAATATCATGTTAGATGTGGTGGATTCAATAAATTCGACACAACGGAGGGCTTTAAATCATAACATGTGTCGATATTCCATTAAAAAAATTTGCAAACGGGAAAAATTACGTCCGTANTATAAACTGTTTACACACGATAGACAGGCGATGCGCGATGACGATGAGAATGCTGCTTCAACTTTTGCATCACTCGTTCTCCCAGGCCGTAGTTTACACATGCGTTGGCTGCCTCGTTGCCATGACAACCGCCGTACGGAGAGCTACGGAGAGAAGCAGATACATACCAATTTCAATATGAGTCACTTGCGTAGTATACGTTGTATGGTACGAGGTTGATGTTCGCGCTCAACGAAGCCAATGATTTTTTAGAAGGCGTTCACCGCGGAATTATTCTGTTTATTTCTGCGTATAAGACAAACAAACACAATACATTTTCAATATAGAATTGTACCTAAATTATAAGATTTATATAAAATTTAAAATAATTTTAAATTGCACAAACAAACGGAAATTTTAGGTGAAGCGGTGCGTCACTTGCGTCACCCGACGAGCCGCCACTGAATAGATTCGCCACTATTCAACACAAAATTCAATTACCAAATGGGGTGAAATCATAATAAGATAAAAGCAAAACAAAGCATAGTATCAACTAATAAAATACACAAATTTAGAAAAATATATTAAAAATATAAACAAGTAAACAAATTAAAAGAACAAACAAAAAAGGAAAACTAGTGTGAAACTGGTTTGTTATTTATATTTGCTCAATATAACAAGAACATAATGTTACATTGAATATTGTTGTAATTTTTACTTATGACATGAATTGGAGATGACTCTGACGGCAATACTAAATTAATTAGGTCTTGTGAGATACGTCATTATTATGCTAATGGCGTGCATCATCTTGAGATACTAAATATTAAAACGATCTAAAATTTTAGGACGGATGTGAAATTAGCAACTTGGTATAGAAATATAAACACACATTAGCGTGGGGAAGTGATAAACAGCAAAAATAAAAATGTACAAATAAGAACGAATAAAAAACTGTTTGAGAGAGAATCTGTTGAGAAATTTGTGGTTTTAGCCTAAAGTGCCTTCTAGAGTTGGTTCTCGTAAATGTTGTTCATTTAATATTGGAACGTTACGACCAAAATTTTTCATAAACTTTCTAAAAACAAAAGTCTACCGGGTTGAGGTCGGGGGAACGACTTGGTCAGTGAATAGACCAATCCATTTCAACTCAGTATATGAAAGCAACTGAGTTATTTATAAAAATCATAATGAAGTCTCATTATTTTCGCTGAAGTACCTAATCTGTGATTAACGCACAAACCGACCCTGATACACCTTATGAATGAACTCCGCTACTTTTATTTACTTACGTGAAACCATATAGACAACTCACCAATCATTTCGTCCATTGGCATAGTACCTCCATACTCTTTTGGCAAAACATCTCGTTCCAAATATCCACTTCCTAAAGCCTCGTCTAAGTTTGTATAAAGCCTTACTCTGCTTTTAATTTTGTCGGAAATTAAGGACATTCCAAAATCAAGAGCAAATTTCATAGAAGCAAGAGTATTTATACCATGAACTTCCTTGTGCCTCATTGGTAACGTTTTCTGAAAAGTAATTTCTATTTATTATTTCATTGATATGATTTATGTGCGTGTCAGCAACTTTTGCAGCTAGAAGAACTGCACAATATGTCCTTCATTTTATAATTCAATAATTCAATAAGGGTGGGGGGCTATGGGGGTTGTAGCTCCGGGCCTCACAAGATCGGGGGGCCTCGGCAAGATCTGGCAAAGTGAATTTTAGCTTTTTTTAGAATCAAACCAAAAAGTGTTTAGGTTTTGAAATTTTATATCTACAAGTTGCTGATTGTATGACCTTTTTTTTTAGAATCAAACAAAAGCCTGTTTAGTTTTGAAAACTTTTTTCTTTTTTTTCTTAGAAAAAGGAGCTTGTAGCCCCAGGCCGGACCATAGGATGATTCGGCCCTGCCCAAAGGTGTCAATCTGAATAGAATTAATTTTAATTAATTATTATTATTGGTTATTAAAAATTATTCAACGTCCAAGTTATCTAATTGTTTAAAATAATTAGAATTTACATGTTTAATTTAGAAATCTGCATTTGTATAAAAATAAGAAAATGGCAACATTTTTAAGAGTTTGTGTACATTTTATAAAGCAATATATTTTTTCGTAAATTTACAAATTAAAAAAAATCCTGATACTTTTAATAAATAAAGCACATAGTTATGGCAAACTATCATTTATTGGTGTCTAAAAAGTCACATTTGTAGTAAAATAAGATATTTGCTGGTATTGATAAAACTCATCATCGTATGATGACAATTGACAACCTAATAACTGCAGTAAAAACTTGCTAGTATAAAAATTTTATTATATAATAAGAAAATAGCCTTGCACAATATACAAAAAATTAGCAAAAAAACTTTTCAACCCCTAATAGGCTCCTTTAGTAAAATATTTCTATCCAACACTTGTATATAATGATACTATAATTTCTTTGGTTTTAAAGGAATAATGTGACCTATAACTCACTAGTGAGTTATAAGTCATAAGTCACTAGTGAGTTATGAAACTCTTGGTTACAGACACAATTTAGGTTGACACTCGCATCTTTTGTAATATTTAAAACTTTCGTTAAATTACTTTTTCTGACATTGACATTAAAATTTTAAGTTACTTTTATTTATTATTAAAACGAAATTCTATGAAAGTGTTGGATAAAATTTTGTATGGCACTCGAGTGTTACGTCATATAAGTCACTTGGGAAAATTACATTAAACATTTCCTAGCGTGACTTATACAGGGTGGTCCATTAGTGTGAGAAAGTAAAATATCTCCCTTGTTATTCATAATACAGAAAAAAAGTTGTACAGAATCAAAAAACCTAAAGGATAAAATTAATTTGAAACACACAGGGCGATGAGTAAAAACGGGATACATCAAATATTACATTTTTTAAATGGAACGCCCTGTATATTTTTAAACATATGGAGTTCTGAGAAAATTTTATATATGGCAATATAAACAGTTTAACATTTTAGTGTGGGGTTGCCAAGGTATGTAGAAAATTCTTCGAATTTTGGAAAAAACATGACCTCGAAGAAGTTGAACTACTAACACTTGGAGTAAAAATATTTGACAGAGTATTAGGCAAATGTTAGGCAGACTCCTATTTTAGCTAATATCGATATTTTATACAGGACATTTTTTATAAAACGATCATTTTAAGAACGTTTAAACTTGATTTCCTAAAATTTTTGAAACGGAACACCCTGTATTTTATTCACATATCAGTCCACTTCAACTTTTATTAAGTATGTACTACACCTAAAGATGTTAGTTTTTAAGATATAACAACATTTCTGGAAAAACCTAATTTTTATTATGTCAACTTGTCAGTTCATAATTTATCATTCCATTTTGAGTCAATTTTATTAGTTAATATTATTTGTGGTAGGTATTCTATAAAATAATAAATATTAAGTTTTTTCAGAAATGTTGCTATATCTCAAAAACTAACAATTTTAGATATAGAACATGCTTAATAAAAGTTGAAATGGACCGATATGTGAATAAAATAGAACAATAAAATACAGGGTGTTCCATTTGAAAAATTTTAGAAAATCAAGTTTAAACTTTCTAAAAGTGATCGTATTATAAAAAATGCCCTGTATAAAATATCGATATTAGCTAATATTTTGCCTAACATTTGCTCTATCAAATATTTTTGCTCCAAGTGTTAGTAGTTGAAAGTTAATATAACTTCTTTCATAAACTGTTGATATTGCCATATATACAATTTTCTCGGAAATCCATATGTTTAAAAATATACAGGGCGTTCCATTTAAAAAGATGTAATATTTGGCATGTCTCGCTTTTATTCATCACCCTTTATGTATCAAATTAATGCTGTAATTTAGGTTTCTTGATTATGTATAACCTTTATATAAACTTTTTATGAGTAACAAGGGAGTTATTTTACTTTCTCACACTAATGGCCCACCCTGTACCGTAACACACTAGTACCATTCATTGCAGGCCTGAAGAGGCGTCATTTTTATTTTTATTTTTATTTTTTTTTTTCTAATTTTAAAAATAACGACGTTGAAGTGGGATATAGTTACAATCAATAAACTTGTATTTATGTATTTTTTAAATGACGATGACAAATGTGTAGATGCATGAATTTCATTAAAATTTAGGGGAAGATTGTTCTATTAATATGTATAGCAGGTAGTCACGAAAGTATTTTTACGAAATATCTCAGCTACTTATTAGAATTGCACTTCTGAGCAGAGTCGTTGCATCAAGCAGTTTATTCACTAGCGGCAGAATTTAATTACTGGCCATGCACATTCACTTCGAAAATCAGGGATTTTCGAAGTAAGAGATATGGGAAGAAAGAGAAGGGAAAGGTTTAGAAGGATTTGGGGAGATGAAAGTTCGAATAACTGTGGACAAGGGAAGAGTAAGTGAAACGGCTCTGCTGAAAAGCAGAACAGAATATGTTAATAATTTACAATTGCATCTTTAATAATAATCGAGATATTTCGTAGGAAATACATTCATGGTCGCCGGTATCTTTAATTTTATCTTACCTCTCCGTTTTTAACTATGCGGACAGCTTCTTTGATAGTGAACAGTGTGAGGTATGCAAAACCAACTCCTTGTCCGTCAGCGAAGTGGACAAAACCTCGAATTTGATTTTCTTCGTCCTCCATAAGTGTTTCATATACGATTCCATGAATACGACACATATCGGCATTTGTAAATTTGTCAAGATCGAAAACACCTTAAATAAACGACATCTTTTAAATATAGAGTGTCTCGGAAAGTTTTGGAGAACCAAACACTCAGACACTGTTCAAGGGTGAAAATAAGGGTCCGTCTCCACTGTCAAACTCTGTTAGCTAAAACTGATGCTCAGTAACAGTCAGTTAGTTTTCCGGATGTTGAAAACATTTTTCGGATAGCTAGATACGTTTTTCTGTGCTACATTTTTAAAGGGATTTTTGGGTCGCTACCGTGATCGGCGTTCGACGTTTTGTTTGTTATATTTGAAGAAATTATTCTACTCATAAAACTATGAAATGAATTAGTAAAAATCTCATATTTTGAACGAAAATTCTGGTTTTGTTGATTACCAACTAAAATTTAATAAGTGAGCTTGAGTGACAATGACGTATTGTTTATTATTGATGTCGCCGTGTTCTAGGAGAGCACATCTAACCATTGAAAGACCTAAACTAATATTAAGACATGATATACAGGGTGTATGATATAACATGCGAAAAATAAAGGACCATTGGTTCGGCCAAATCTGAAATGTTTTCACATATAAAAACTTGCCCATTAAGCCTTCGATTTTGGAATACAGGGAAAAATACCTTTAGAAAAAAAATCTCTAAAAATCTGCTGAAGAAATAAAGATGTTCAAAAGAAATCTTATGTGCGCAATAATAATAAGTAATTAATAAAATGTAATTCAACATGAAAATAATCAGTTTTAAAAAATATACAGGGTGTAACAAAAATAATGTTACAAACTTCGCTAGTAGATAGAACACTTAAAATCAGTAGGAGTACTTCATATAAAATTTTTACCTAGTGTTTCCTGGAAAAAAATTAATAACATTTTCTTTAATATCTTTTGACTACTTCGACCTAATTTCGGTGAAATTTCGTATCCGGGTTTTGTTTTTTGGAATGAGAAATTCGAATTTTACGACGACTTCGTTATTTCTTCTAGAGGAAGCCACAAGCGACCATTAGGACGCATTTAAACTGCCAAAACATTTTTGTGCCACCGCGTATTTTACTTTGGGCTGAAAAAATCTTTTGCCCCAACTTTTCTGCTTAAAAAATATCTCTAAATCCAACCGTTTTCAACAAAAAGGCATTTTTTGTAAATGTATAAAAAAATTTGTTACAGTTATTTTCAGTTCTACTGATAAACATTGAAAAACATATAGACAGGTCGATAATATTTATTTATTTTTTAGATTTTTAGGTCGTTTAGATTGGTTGCATTGTTTAGATTGTGTTAGATAATGATACTAAGTAGGTATATGGATTGATAGATTGCTTTTAGAAAGTATGTCTTTTACTGTCAATTCTTTTTGCAGTAAAATTGTTAAATACACGAAATTTAAAATTGTAATTGCATTGTTTCCTTAAAAGGCACATTTCTTGCTAATAGATTGTTCCTAATTTCGTTTATCAGTGTTGAAAATAACTTTTAAACAAATTTAGTTAAGCATTTACAAATTTAAATGACTTTTTGTTGAAATGGTTGGCTTTAGAGATATCAGCAAGGTTGCAAGGTATACTTTTTTTAAACAGAAAAGTTGAGGGAAAAGGTTTTTCCAGTTCAAAGTGAAATACACGGTGGCACAAAAAAATTTTGGCAGTTTAAATGATCGCTTGTGATGCCCTCTAAAAGATACAACGAAATCGTCGATAAATTCTCATCCCAAAAAAAACTTCGGATACGAAATTTCACGAAAGTAGCTAGAAGTAGTCGAAAAATATTAAAGAAAATGTTATTTATTTTTTCAACTTTAATACCCTGCATCAAGGAAGCACTTTAGGCAGAAATTTTATATGGAGTACCCCTACTAATTTTAAGTGTTCAATCTGCTGGCGAAGTTTGTAACCTTATTTTTGTTAGACCCTGCATATTTTATTATTAAATCCTGTAATTTTACTATGTTTTAAAGGTATTTAGCTAATTCAATTAAGTTTAAATAAATTTCGTAAAAATCCTATGAAATGAAGTTAAACAAAGTTCTTAGATACTAAGAATCTAGGTATGTCAAAGATATGTCATAGATAAAATTCTTATCTGATGATATTGCTGATAAAATTTGTATTTCCAAAATGGTACATTTTTTTTTCCAGTGGCGTGTCGTAATTTTTAACGAAAATGTAAGCAACGTACTTCAGACCTACGTCATTGTTTTGAGCTAAGACTTAATTCCACATTGAATGCTATTCTATTCATACACACCATTTTTTTGTTGTTCAGAAGATATTTAGAGATATAACTATTTTATATTTCAACACACTGTATTTCAAAAACGAGGGCTTCAAAGGCAAACTTTTCATAAAAAAACATTCTGAATTTGGATGAGAAAAAGCTTAATAATTTTTGACATGTATCTAATAGTGTTACTGTTACACCTTGTACAAAAGAAAGCCGTAATATTCATAATCGGAAACTATTTTCATTTTTAAGTGATATTTCAGTTTCTCAGGAGATAGGTAGTTATAGGCCTTGAAAGTGGGGTTTGAAATTTTGAAAAAATCAATAAAAAATCAAAAATCAATAAAAAAATCTGTTATACTTATACTTAGAAAAATCAAATTTGTTACAGGGTGTGAGGGTACCAAGAGCATTAATCGACAGTAACTAGAGTACAATTGAAGTATTTTAAAGAATTTAAAAGGGATGATTTAAAATGTGACAGAATTTAAGTCTAACACTTTCCTTACTCTTGTTAGTTTTCAAAAAACTTTGTCGTTTTCAACAAAAACACGAATAGTTTTTACTTAAAATGATCGAAAAACAAAAAATTTTTGGAGATTCAATAGAGAGGTAACTAGAAATTTGGAAAATTAAAATAATTTTAACCGAAACGAGGACTTGGAACTGAAATGTCACAGACTATAAATTCAAAACATACATATAGAAAGCCGTGGACAAAACACAACAAAAATAAACTGCGGCTAGTTTCAGGGTTTCTTCACAAGATGTCTCTCGAAACGTCAAAAATTCTCTATCATATTTCTCTATCATATCACTTTGACAGATTAGAACTGAAACTCCTGTAAGTACCTAATAAAAATTGATACATACCAGGTCGGGCGATTACCACCCTTCTTCCTTTGCTGTCGCGCTTAGGAGAAGCAAATAAATATCCTCGATTAGTTAGTTCTTCCATCATGGGTATCGTAATATCCAAACAATTGAATGCCACTCCAAATGTCTGCCTCAAAAGAATATACCTTTCTAGGGCTTCCTGCGCGAGGGTTACATGAAATTTTTTAAAGCGCAGAAACCGTAACAAAAAATTTGAATCTGAAATTATATGAAAATCTGTTAGTGTACTTATATCATACTTAGTACGTACGTTCATATAATATTTTATACCTAGAAAAAAAATGCCAAAGACAAGTTTTAGGAAATTTTCATGTGTGTCAAAGAAATATATAAAAAAAGAATTAAATGTTGCATTACGCTGATATAAACCAAACATGTGTTTTTGTAATTTTCTCTTTTTGTTAATTACAACTGGTTCCACAGCGATATTGGTTGTATCATTAATTGTGCAGGGTTATGAAATAAATTAAAATAGTGAGCAAACTGTCAAAATAAGCATACGAGGTGTAAACAAGGTGTTACAAAAAAGTAGTTTTTTATTAACAAAATATATATTTGTTTGTTTTGTATAATACGAACTTGCAAAACCGAAATGAAAAGAAAAAGGATTTTTCTTTTCCAAAAAATAATGATCACAGTCAACTTACGAACAAAAATTTACTTAATTTATATAAAAAAATTGTATTTTCTATCCTAGAAGTAAGTGTGACTTAGTTTAGGTAGTTATTTGTTAGAAATTAGTTAGTTATCAATTTATACAGGGTGATTCACAACTTATTCAAACAAATTTGGGAATAGATACGTCATGAAAAATGTAGTCAATATCGTAAAAACAATTTTTGCAAAATCCATATAGTTCCCGAGAAAAAAATGATTGAAGTTGTAGTATTTACAACCCTTATATCGCTGGACTACTGTAGTCTCTAGCGTCATTCGTGTTGTGCGCTGTACGCAATGCGCTGTAAACAATGCGCGCTCTCTCCGCGTGTCCCCAGATGATTCCGAATAGTGTTTACATTAGTTTTTCAAGTTTCAAAAATGGCTTACGTGTATAGCTACTCGGAGTTGATGGAGAACATTTCAATTTGGTGAAGACAACATTAGTGTTAGTTCGTAGAAACTGAGTAAGACGGGCCCAAATGTGTTTACACGTCAGTGGACTAAATTTTGAACAGTTGTAACATCAGGTATGTCAAATTATTGTATTAATTAAAACCACAAATAAATTTTATTAATTAATAATAACAATAGAATCTACGATATGCAAACAACTACACTAAATCTTATTCTGACGGAGTATTAAAATTAAAAAGCTAATTTTTACTGCATTTTTAACTAATTTACGACCGTAATACCGATGGTATCTTTTATACTTAAAATAATACATGAATTTTATTCGTAAAGGTTATTCACATAACGTCCTATACCGTTAACTTATCGGAGTTATAAACCAAACTTATGGTTTTTTATTAAATACCCTGTATGTTTGTCGTTTTTTTTTAAACCCTACCTTTTTATTACTATATGTAGAATGTTACAAAAGAATAGGGTCAAGCCTATGACCACAGATTCTTTGAGTGAAAATAATGGGACTTTCCTTGTGTAATTTTTCATTTCTAGATAGAGGGTGTTCAAATTACAATTAAAACAAAATATTAATAGCTCTGTTGTTCTTTATGATATTAGCCTGAAATTTTACACAGACTTTTACCTTAAATCGATATTTCTTTACTACTAAAACTATATCAACAACGAAGCCAATTTTTTTTTAGAAATACCAAGTTCTAAACGTAGTTTAAAACAAAAAAAAAAGAAAGCTATAATATACAGGGTGGTCCGAATTTTGTGCAGGAAACTTCGAGGGCAGATAGATCTCTTTAAAATAATATGTGTTTACCTTATAAACATAGGTCTGGAACGGCACCGTTTTAGAGATACAGGGTGTTGAAGTTTTAAAAAAATTGATTTTTTTGTTTATATCTCCGGAATCTATTAACCGATCTCAATAAAATTTGGTACATATAATGTAGGCCTTATATTCCCTGAAATATGAGCTTTAAAGGTTCAACCAGTGGTGTACAACTGGACAGGGGTCACCCCCTTTTTTACAAAAAAACCTATGCCCCTGCATTTTTTACATGTCATTGTAACTGATTTATATTTTAATGCATAAAATACGTAAAAAGGTAACTTTAATTTTTCCCTAAGATTCGCCGTTCTCAAGTTATTCATACCAATACAATCCCCTTGTGGCAGACACTTTTAACGATAATATTACAAGAATATTTTTTTATGTTTAAAAGTAAATGCAATTTGTAAGCACATCAACAAAATTATTTACACTGCTTTCTACACCACCTGTGAGGTAGCGTGCGATATAAACAAAAAATCATTTTTTTAAAACCCCAACACCCTGTATCTCTAAAACGGGGCCGTTCCAGACCTATGTTTATAAGGCAAACATATATTATTTTAAAGAGATCTATCTACCCTCGAAGTTTCCTGCATAAAATTCGGATCACCCTGTATATATCTAGAAGCAGAAGAAATTTCATCTTTTATTTTAGATTATATTGGACAGTTTTTACTTCAATTTAATTTTACTCATTCAATAATAGAGATCCAGAGGTTGACAAAAACGCCAAGAAAATGTAACCCGAAAAAAAAAAATTAAGGTATCGAATTTCTGATTTGATAGTGGAATTTGTGATGGCACCTATATCTTGAATTTCCGTAGAAAATGTGATAGTCTGTACATAGTAATCAATGAGAATATTTTGTAAATTGTCAAAAAAATACATTTTTCAGCGAATGTTGCAAGCCTATACGTGAAAATTCCACGAAAACGAAATATTGCACTGATAATTGTAATATAATAAAATAAATATTGCATGCAATAAAAATGATAAATCTTTGTCACAAATTATGACACAATTGTAGCACAATGATGTTTTCGTAATTTTTTACTGATCTTTTAAATGTGATCCTACGAATACTCATATTGATATAATTGAATTACAATTTAGCTAATTGCATTTATCAAAATCAAAATGTGTCCAAACTCCATTTAGGTATCTAAATGTTAAAAGCCGGCTCCTGAATATTTGTCATACAAATGTGTCACAAAGTTCAGATTATTTGGCTAAAATCGATAACACCAATTTATATATATTTATATACATATAATGTATACATATGTGAAATATGAACATACGACGAATATCTCCTTTAATTGAGGAGATATTATATAGATATCTACTGACGTGGTGGTTGCAGCAGGTGCGGTTACATTTTATTGATGTGCCATTTGTATAGATTTGGATATTGAGGACATGCTTTTGAATGTATCGATATGCAGCATCCACACAGATAAGACATTTGTTTACGTTTGACAAATAATTGGCAAGTTACCGTATCATCTGGAGCCAGTTTAACACTCCGAACTCGACTAGTTTACAAAGCAAAATGCTTAATGCTAATAACAGTTATGAACAGAATTAATTTCCCATTTCACACACGAAAATTTGATCTATTCAAATTTATATCAAATTGAAGTGAAAAATTTGAATGTATTTTTTAATTTATAAATTTCTACTAATTTGTGTTATTGTTTTTATGTTACAACTTACCCATTCGACAGTTCTTTATCCTGGAATTTTGCATAATCCATTCTCGCATAGAAGCTAATGCGGATCGTCGGATATGCTCATCTTCCCGCAGTTCATTTTTGGCTATGGTTTGTGTTTCGTCAGAGAGCGTGCACACATATTCGTCAGGATCAGTTACCCATTCACGGCCAGTCATGATTTAACTAAATTTTGTTGATATATTTACTTTTTTTCTAATATTACGTATCAGGTGATCATGCGAAGATTATCCCCTCTTTTTCTGTAATTTTCGAAAAAATTTAAAATAGTTTAAGAACAAATGCTGTAGAAATTAGTTTAATACCTGGATTGCAAAAACCGCTGAAAGCGGCGTTACACGGATTTTCTGTTTGTTCTGTTATTTCGGAGTATTTTCGAATGAAAAAATTTAGAGACGAAATGCGTCCCCTTATGATCACCCCGTGACTGCGGCGTGCAATTGTTTACTTCGCTGGAATTTGTAGAGCAACCTTAGTGCATTTCACCTATACTGTGTCAGTGTCAGAAGTTATTGACATTGAGATTCACATACTAGTAAGAGTAATTTTATTTCTTCATGTTGGTAATTAAATTTCGGTAATATTAAAAATTATTAAAACAGTAAGATCAAGATTACATTAAAACGCAATATTCTGTTTCACAGGATGTGATTGGTGTATTTAATTTTTCACGAGATTCTCTTTATCCAATCAGCGATCACATTATCTCGAGCGAAGATGTAATGGTTTGTTATTGTTTATTGTAAACGAATCATTAATATTGGTGATGCCAAGATTTAGGGATATTTCGTTACCAGCACTGCAATGTTGGGTTGCCTAAGCTAGGCGGTCACGTGTCACGTGGCTTGTAAACATTTATGAAGGCATTTCTCTGCATTCAGGTATACCTGAAATTGTTGTTGTAATTCCTAATTTCAGCGACGTTAGATCCCTTAAAGAGGGATAAAATTTACTGATGGAATTAATATCGTTACAACTGTATTTTTTCAGAGGTGCGTTTTTCAAAAGGGTATCTATGTAGATTTTACATTTCTGTAATCAAGGTTCTTTAGAGATTTTCCTTATTTATTATTTAAATGTAATTTATTATGTATATATTTTCAACGTGAGTTATTCAAATTCAAAATAAAGAAATGGTGTGACCGTAGGTTTCCTCTGATGTCATTATATTTTTGGTAATATTTGAGTAGCCAACTGTTCCTTTATCTAATAATAATTTGTGGTTTGATGCATACTCAAGTTAGTCACTTATTTATACAAATTTATTAACACCAGAATTGAGTATGAGATGAGGACACCCTAAGTTGAGTGAAGAATACCTTTGATATGAGTGAAAGATTAGTATAGATTTAGGGAAGTCTCTGAATTTGGTCTTTATACACTTTTCTGAATACCAGAATTGAGAATGAGATCAATTAAATAATTTGATTTCCTTTTCAGTGCTTTCCCTCAAATGTTTTCGTATATAATCATATAAAATATACATAACCATAGTGTAGAAAATACTGTTCTACAGGGTGCTTGATAAGTAAAGGTACACAACGGATAACTGTGGATGGTGGTAGTAAACATATTAATATCTATGTATACAGGGTGATTCATTAACAATGGGAAAGTCGAAATCTGAAGATCCTAGACGTGAAATGGTGACTATTGGCGCAAACATGCCTTATCCGAAAGTTGATAGTTTCCGAAATACAGGGTGTTGAAAGTTAAAATTTTAAATCGTTTTTTTGCGATTATTCTGAAAATATGTAGGTTGGGAACTTGAAAATTTGTGAAACTATATTTTTTTAGGCAACGAATAAGATGCGTGTTGTAATTTCAGCATTGCTCATAGAGGGCGCCACTTATGACCAATTTTACCGAAAATTTAGTTAATAACTTTTTACCCTGTATATTTAACATGAAACTTGATTCAAAACCTGAAAGAGCTATCATTTTTCCATTAATTATGTACTCTTGTTTCATTTCGGTATCTCGATCCGTTTTCGAGAAAAA